TTTCATGGTCACTCAATTCAGATGTGTCTGCAGTTCAATGCACCTAAACAATGAGAAATAAAATTTTTCGGCGATATCCAAAAATTAGCTCTTGTAGATACGGGCATGTGTCAATTACAGTATGTTTCAAATAGTGTTGCCGCATAGCAAATAATACTGCAAGCAGTAGAAACTCTTATAAGCAAAAGAAAATAGTTGAAATAAATTGCTTATAAAAATTTGAATGATTTAGAGAAGTATTGTTTAATTTTTTCGGAAATACAGTTAATATATTAAATAAAAATTAAAAAACCTCGTGAGATTTATCGATATATTCTCTCTTAATAGAAAAAAAGTGACGGAATTCTCCATACGACTGTTTTTCTTTATTAATGTCATGAGTTTCTCTTATGCTTTCTATTCAAATGTTTAAATTCACAGAAAAATTTTCGATTAAATGTACAATATTCATTATTAAAGACAGTCTCGTATAAAAAACGTTAAGTTCCATTCTAGTGATTCCAAAGTTATTTTAAAGCATATGAAAACATTCACATACGATATGCAAATTAGAATAAAAGGATTGTATATGCAGTAGAGACACATTATTATTATATAAACTTAAATGAAAAGACACTGGTTATAAAAACAATTTAAAATTCAGGGATACATAATCGGTATGAAAAAAAGTATAGAAAATATTTAAATAAACATCTTGACTATATATTTACCTTTGCCCAGATAAAGTACTTCCTAAAAACGTAATTATTTTGACAAAGACCATTAATAGTTTTATGGTAGCATCAAGAAATTGAATACCTTACGTGCACTTTTAGATTTTCTGTCTGTATTCCTAAAGTTTCAGGTTCCATAAGATTAAATAATGTAAATGTATTATTTTATATTGCTCATAAGAGGTTAATAATTATTTACTTTCAGAATCATAGGAAATTTGTTTAACATTTCCACACGGTGTCATGATTATCTAATGATATTTTAAACCAAATTTGTGCTGAAATAATATTAATGATGGCTGTACAAGTTATTTATGTATTGTTAATGTATAGGAAATGTTATAAATTTAGTTGACATCGATGAAACATAAGATTTAAAGTTGCGAAATTTGAGAATTTTCAATTTATTTCAAATATTTTTCAAAATGTAAACTTCTGGTTAAATGATAAATTTCGTCTACTACGGAAAGAGCGTGACGTGTATTTTACATTATACTCAAAAACATATTTTTAGTTATCTTAAAAATATAAGTTAACTTAACGACAAATTGCAAATCAACGGCCCTTTCGGGCCAACAAATATTTTATGGCGTAAGGAACGCACGGTTTTTTTAGCATCGTTATGTGTTTGTAGACTTTCTGACAGTTTATGATTTGACCAAAACTGCATGGATTCCAACGAGAAATTTTTTAAATTAGCATTACTTGTCAACTTACTACGGTGCTCCACTCAGTGAAGCTGAGACGGGGGGCTGCTAGTAATTAATTATGAAGGTGTTGGTTAAATAGTATCTACATGGATTCATCTTATTTATTATTCTTTTGTTATACGTTTTTATCATGAAATGAGTACTTAATACAATATGATACATTTCATAAAAATAATGTATAGATGGAATATGAATGCTCAAGTTCGTGCATGTATACAATGTATTTTATTTACAGTTATAGTTACAAAGTAGACGGTAAAGCATGTGAGTTTGAAAATATCAATGATTGTGATCAAGGAATTCAATTTTAGAATCATGTTAACGGTAGAAACTGAAGTTTCATGGAAGCTAATTGGAGATAACAAGAGTTCCCGATTTTTTTCTATGGTTATTAGTAGTTCATTAGGCATTTTATCTTAAAAGTAAACAAAAATAAGTAAAAGAACAAAATTTAGAGGGAAATGAAAAATAAGAAAATTCTCATCACAGCTAGTTTTCAAATGAACAGAATTATCAGTTCTGTGGAAATGGTAAAATGTGTTAATAAATCAGATGGTCTACTTTTCATTATCAACTTATAGGAGAAACCGAATGAAGAATTATAAAAAACTATTCTTGTGGAAAAACTAAGCACTGTTTTTCTTTAGACTAAAAATAAATTTTTTGAAATCAATATTAAATTTTAAGAAAAAGCAATGTTGATAAATGACCAACGGACCGATTATAAAATAAAGTACTCAGCATTTAAGGGCACAGTGCGCTTTTTAGGCCTGATCTTCCATTTAACGGTCATTAGAGGGGGAATGTAGAGAGTGCAGTGAGGAGGGAGCGAGCATGCAGCAGTGCTAGCAATTATTTTCATGCATTCGTATGTATATAGGCGTCTGACAGTGTTTCTTTCATTTAATTGCAAAAATAACTTGTTCATCCCTGTAAAATTTGAATTTCATACCCGTAATATGGTACTGCACCTTGCAAAAAAAAAAAAATTGGACAAATTCTACCAACTTTTTTTTCATGAAAACCATTGTTATTTGACTTTTCCATAAGGTTACGAGATAAATTAGAGTTTTTTCAGCATTTAATACAAAAAAAAATGGTGTTGTGAAACGGTCTTAATTCTACATGTAAATTTTTAACATCATTACGAATATTCTGTTAAAATTTTAGAGATATTTTACTCAAAACGCTTTGTGTAGTAAATAACGGAAGAATCTTTTATAGCGTTCACTTTAGAAAAATATCAAAGTAGATAAAATGTGGAACATTTTTTACATCACTCTGTCAAAGATCTCAGTAATTGTAAATAATACAAAGCTTTTTTTTTATAGCAGTTGAATTTGAAAATAATAAAACAAACTATAAAAGACATGTAACTAGTAAAAAAAATGTAAAAAATATGAAAGAAAGTAGAGTCTTTGGAAAAAATTTTTTTACGCTTAAATATTTTGTATGATCGATCAACCATATTTAAACATGTAAGAAAAATTGATGAGTATTTCTGATCAAAATAGTATATTTTTTCTTGAAGTCCTAATAAAACAGAAAAAACAGTAAAACGTAAAACTTATATTAGTTAACTTATTTCTTTAAGAAATTATTTTTGGCTGAAAGACTTACTATTAGAACGTCTTTTCTTAATTTAAAAAAAAAAAGTAAAATAACAATAACAATAGTTTTATTATTTTTTATGAGACATCCATAAAGCAAAAATTCAGGATGAGTGGTTGGTAAATTCTTTAAAACATAGTAAACAAGTCTGCTGTAGACATAAAACTATAGTTTGAGAAGGTATCCATAAGATACTTTTTGAAGTAGTTGTAACAGCAGAAGAACAATAGTAAGAAGAATAAAAAAGGTCTGTCTCTTGGCATTTTTTAAATTTTAAAACTGTTTACTAGTATTCGAATATCAAACAAAAAATATTTAACAAATATTATACATAAAAAAATGAATAAATGAAACGAACTAAAGTCCCTGAAAAAAACGAAGCACCATGGATCTTCTAAATCTTTTAGTGAAGACTCTTTATCTTTAACTTACGTTGTAATTTCAACGTCTTGTATATAGATTTACTATTTTCAAAAACGTAGATATATAAATTTCAACATTCCTTAGAAATGTTACTAAATCATAAATATGGCTTTAACTTTATCAGTTAAATAACTAAATAAAAATCTTGTGGTAAAGACGTTGTGAAGGGCAACAAGAAATCTTTGGAGAAGGTGAGCAAAAAGTCTGAAGTTCTTATTCAATCAAAATGTAAGACTTGGTGGGTAGTGTGGAGGGGAGGTGCAGGTGGGATGGTAGTGAGGTAATCAAAGAATTTTTGCTTTACAAATGAATGGAGAAATTGAGCAAATTTTTTTACTTTTTATTTATGAGGTAAAACTGAGAGGGTATGTATTACATGACTCACTAAACGTAGAGTACAATTTAAAAGTATCGTTAAGGGGCTTTATTTTTCTACGTGATTAACACTTTTACCTCTGCTCTCATGTAGAATAGAAAAATAATAACCTTTATGTGACACATAACTACGAAACGTAAGCTGATTTTATTTAGGTGTAAATATTTCTTATAAGAACAACGTAATGCAAAAAATTTTAAATGCACAATAGTCCATGGTACAAAACGTAAAGAGTAACTGCTATTACCATAGGCTGCAGATGGACTTAAAACTATGTTATAAATATCTGTTATCTTCTAAAAATAAATTGTATTTAACAAAGTAATAACGATTAAGCTATTGTATTTTTTAAGAAAGTTGCAATTCACTTACATCACATATTTTTTAAAACAGTAAACTTTATAATCGTTAATTCCCTCTAGTGTATCACTTGCCCATAAGAGTATACTATAAAAAATCCTAATAGACTTTTAAAATTTTAAGGTATTGTGAATGTCCATGGAAGAAGGAGTAAAAACACATATAGAGATTGTGAAATGTCATTGAGGGGCATACATAAATCCAACCTACTAAAAGCAACAAAAAAAACAATTTAATGTTTCTCAATGTGGAAAGGGTTTCTACAAGGTTGAATTTCTTGACCCTCTGGAATAACTATGTTATGTAGGAATATCCACGCACATAAGAGTATTCGTATTTGCTTAATTTAAAAAATTGTAAGGCCCCTAAACAGTTGTATATTTTTCATATAAATAAATGTAATCAGGGCAAACCCAAGCATAAATAACGCACCTATTTTAATGAAACCTTTGTCAGCACTTTGATTGAAGCTATTCCTAATGATTAATTTTATCTTTATTGACTGGTTTAAAAGATTCTTCATCTTCTCATAAAGCTAGTAGACTTTATCTTATTCTTTCATTTTAAACGTTGTTATAAAATATTTACGAATTACTAATGCAGTATATAATATATCTATTTTTTAAATTATCAGAATAACGTTGTCAAACTTTACCTACAACTCTGAAAATTAACATAATTGTATGAAAAGATGAGTTCACATATACTTAACATATACTGTTGGTATACAAATAACATAGGATTCTACAACAATAGCATTTCATCCAAAACTATTATAATTAGATAAAAAATAATTATTTTATTTACCAAGAAATCTGTTGTACGTATTTGGTTGAAAAACTTCTTCTGGACGGTAGAAAAGGAATCGAAATGGTAAAAAAATTTTAACATCTGGCCGTTCTTGCAGTAAGCCTTGATCAATGGAACGAGCATTTTTAAGCTGACTAACACAAACAGCATCTTGACGTGGTTGATTGCAAATGGCGTCAAGAGGATTCAGTACCTTTTTAAAATTATAGAAATTAGAAAATTAGTTCGAAGAAAGGCAAAAAAAAAAAAAATTATTTTTTTACGCTGAGTAGTAACAAATACAATTACAATATACCTTCCCAGGTAGAAATTTACAACAGTTGTTTGCTAGTATTTCACGATATTATGGACAATTAATGAGCTGACCTACAATGATCATAGCCTATTTTACCACATTATCTATCAGTATGCTTGTGGTAAACTCAATAATAAGCTCGGCAAGGCATGGTGCTAATCACTTAGCCCCTCTATTTGTATCACTTCTTCTCTTATCCCACTGTTGTACGGCTGTAACAGTGCAGTACCAACTAACAAGTAAAATATACATTTTAAACAATTTCATTAGCTCAATGTTTAATTATGTTTAAGAATCGCTATTGTCTAATTAACTGTGTGGGTACTACAAATGACGTTCTTTCATCCTAGCCACAAAGTGCAACTGCTGCATTGTGCCCTCAAGCCACACTTTGCACCCTTTTAATAACTGTGGGCCCACAGGCACAACAGTTTTTTGCACTCTCTGGGCAAAAAGTAGTTTTTTTCTCTACGGCCCAGAGTTACTAACTGGGTGTAAAGTATGCGTACGAGCACCAAATTGCACTTTGCACCCTCGGTAAGAAAAACATTACACGCAACTCGGGCACCAACATAAAACAATTGCGCCTTTCGGGCGCTTATATTTGTACTTCGTGCCGCCGTCATGTAATGTCCCATTTTCATGTATATTTAACACGCAGTGTAAGGTAAAGTCAGGTAGTGTATATATATATATACACCTTATATTATTGAGTTGTAAGACTGAATACAGTCTGTTACGTCCAAACTTGTAGGTAAATGGTGGAACTCGTAGATTCGTTTTACAAACAAATAATTTTAATTTTTGTTTGTTAGGAACTAGCTGTTCGCCTGAAGGATTTATTTGCTCGTACTTACAGTATACTTTTCTTTTAAATCGTTGATTTGGTGTTGTGGTATTAAGTTCCAACAAATAGTATGTGTGCAGTAGTATTCATGTGTCGTACGCCGAGTTAGCTTTGACCTACTCTTGAAATTTATATCTTATGTACTACAATAGTAGCGTATTTTATTCGTCTTTTTACCTCACGTCCTTGTGTAAGTCTTAATTATATATTATATACTTAACTTTTCCTTGGTACTTAATTTGTTTATCAAAGTAAGAATTGTGTTTCTGTCAAATAGAATTTTGAATCTTGGAATGTTTCATTTATTTTTGTTACTGAAATATTTAAACTAAGAAAAAAGGTTTTGTTTGGGATTGAAAACCCAATGATTGTGGACAGTATGATTTGATTTACCGGTTGCGAGAGAAAAAAAGTGGGAGCCCAATTGCTTGGTTTTGTTAAAAGATTAACACTCACACCTTTTATACATAATAAAATAATAAAGTATATTAACAGCAGAAATTACAACACTTGATGAGAAAAAAAAAATTGAAAAACTTTGGTAAATAACAAAATTACGTTTTATGTGCGCTAGTTTAAGGATATTGAACGAAGTTAAAACACAGTTATTTTACTAATATAATTAAATTGAAAATGATGTTGTTTGAGTCACGCGAGTAAATTATACAAGAAATTTTCTTTTTCTATTTAAAATGATTAACTCGAGAAAATGTATGCTTGATTGGTGTACACAGTGACCACACTGTGGTTTACTGGACGAGCGATCGGTGTGGACTGACTAAATGCTCACAGGCAAGCAGTCGTGAGCAGCCAAAGTAACTTAAACGTGGAGCGCTATGATTGGTGGTCACGCAGGACCATTGTACGCACGCTATTGGTTACAAAATACTAAAGTTAACTGCTAGCGCGCGAATGTATAAATTCTATATAGTTAATGTTTGTAATACTAATTTGATGTTGAACACGTTTAATGAACACCCAGTGATGTCTTATCTGATAACTTAATAAATGAAGTAAGGCCGTAAATAATTAATGCTATAAATTAAAAAGCTCTTAGATTTGCGTGTACAATGGTTCAACAGTTTATTGTTTTTCTTAACTTAACTAACTTGTATGATCGTTGGTTAGCCACTGCTTGCGCCCATGCAGTTGTAAGATCTTAGGAGATTAACCGCAACGACGATACTAATCCTACACAAGAGTACTCGTGGTGATGACGATAATCAGGCTGCTGCTTTTAACGTCAGAACGCAGGGTTATAGTCCTTTCTTTCTTGCTTTCTTTTATTCATTTGTTAGGCGAGTCTACAGTGACCTGGTTTTCTCGAGGTTTGCTAACACAGATTAGTCACCAAACTAATTTTTACATTCGTTTAAAATGCACGCTTCTAGCACACAGCTTAGTCATCGAACTTAGTCTTACATTTTCTACAGCAGACACAATAGAACTCATTTTCCAACCTTTATAGTAACTTGAGAGCACTTAATAAAATTTAAAAAAGGCCGATATTGGTATGTGGAAGGAGTTTTTATGCTTTTGCATTTAAATATGACACGTAAGGGTGGGAATTTGGATGACTCATTGGAGCTTAATCCAATTACTTTTAATTGACATAAGCATAAGTGTAGTGCAATAATTATGCAGTAACTGAAAGTAGAAAGTCTACACAGACACACACTTATTATACATGCACACTTTTGTGGTTGCATCTATAATTCTGTGAACAAGTTACACTCACAAACATACGTACATGTATACATTGTAGACAAGGACACTGCACACAGTAACACACGACAACACGGCAATAGGAATATGAATGCTGACTATATGTATATACGTATCGAAATCCAATGATGAACGATGAGACTCGAGCGCCACCGAGTTGCAGTATATATATGTATGCACATGCGTACGTAAGTTTCTACCGTTTTACTCTAAATCAAAGCTCTCCTAAAGAAGTTTTCACTTCAAAAAAGCTGAGAAAAATCACGCACAAATAGATCGTAAGCATTAGCAATTGTATTGAAAGTTCATGAATTGCACCAATTTTGTTTCATTTTCGTTTTATTCTTGAGACGAATTGTAAACCTATAGTTTTGATTTTCTGGGACAAAAAAGGTATTACGTAAATGTGTACAAGCAATTTAAAAAGGTGAGCAGTTTTTTTATCAGGCTACAGTTATTAAATTTAACATATTAACAGAAAAAATAACGAACACACTGATTGTTTATCAAGTTTTAGTTTGACCAGTATAATTGATAGAAACACAGATAGTTATTCAAACGTCAATTCTGTCTTAGAGATATGTCTCTATTTTGTCTTTATTTTGGTCCAAAAAGAATTTGCAAGCTGCGTATAGCTGTTATATCCTGAGTTGATACTGATGAATCACATTTTAAGTGAAAACGCAGTTCATCCATAAAATTTATACAAGACGCACTGTGTATATACAGTAAGCTCATATGACAAGTGAAGCTCATACGTCACTTATATGCGCGCGCGTGTGTGTATTATCTTTAAGGTTAATGTTTCATAATATGCTGACATATAATACGACCAGCCTCGTCGTAAGAATGTAGTTATGTATTAGTATTGTATGTAACATGTATAAATGCATAAATCGTTACGTTTACGTGCGCATTGGTTGTTTATTTCTAAAAATGTATGTGGCGTCTCACATCTCTCGCACTTCAGGCTCTACTCACCAGGTGGCCAAGCCCCTAATATTCGCTCCCGTCAAGCGGCGGAATTCCCGCACGATTCATATTTAAGCGCGATCGAGTCACTCTAAGCCCACACCTCTTCTGTGTCTAAGGCAGAGAGCACGTCATCAGCCTTACTGATGAGTCCTGGCGTGCTCTCGGGACGAAACACCTTTTTCTCTCTTATAGACGACCTCTATAATCTCTATATGTATATCAATTTGAAAATTACAATTAGCACATTATTTTATTATACTGAAAACTAATTGTAAAACTCCCAAAAGGATTAATTTTGAAAGTTGTACACTTACTGTCACACTTGAACTTGTATTTAGAGTTCTTTTATTACTGATACGAGGTTTCATAATCACTTGTCAAAAAACTAAATTGCACTTGTCAGAAAAATGCGATTGGTACTGTTGTACTGTTATTTCTTTATATATGAAATCATAACATGTAACATCATCGTGCAAGCCTACTGTTTTGCCGTCAACGCAGTCTACAAGAACATCGCTCATCGGTTGACCTAATTTAACCAAAAGCCTCTTTTACTCGCTCTGACGCTATCAGAACTCACCACTAAGTGGACAAATTTTACGTCTGTCACCTGACCTTTAAGGTTTTAGTCTACTCTTGACTCCAGTGACTCGTGAGTACCTTACACACGCAAGGCATAACGTATTGGCTCAGGCAACTTGGGCGCATTTCGAGAATACCAACAGTATCGGACTACGCTAAGGAGCGGGGTACAACAAAAGAGGCCCACCAAAAGTGGTTCTGGCGATAGCCGAGAAAGCAGAAACCGCAACATCTTCCCAGCTACTAACTAATTCGTTTAGTTTAAGGAACCACTGAAAATTACTGCATGACGCATTAGGGAACTCGGAAGCAGCAGTAACAGCAATTAGTGATAGATGTAAGTTATTTATCAGTAATATAATTTACATCAAAATTTGGGTAAAGTGATATAAATGGATTGTATCTTAAAGAATAACTGTTTTAAATTGTTTTGCTAAAAGAATTAAAAATCAAACATTAATTAAAATCGTCCATATCATTTAGATAAATATTTTAACCCAACTAAAAAAGAACAAATAAGTAAGTCCAGTCATGACATAACAATTGTTGAATACTAAAAAGTGTTCGTCGATACGTTGAAAACACGGTCGTATAGGTGGTAGCCTAGGATCGATACAGACATGAAAAATGTGACGAAAAGGTGTGAATTATGCTTACGACATGGCAGCAATCCACCGAAGGCTAAATTGCACGTCAGGAAATGGTCAAATTTCTCTAATGTACATATTTATACAGATTTTTATATCTAATAAGGAGCTCTATGCAGTTG